ACGTTTTGAGTTAATAATCGAAAACACAGCTAAGTATCCATTATTTCGAGTTTCATAGCTGAACTATTAAGCTTGCTAGGTGAACTATAAACAACTGTTTATCAAAACACATCTCATCATCCCACCATCATTTTGATAGTTGAGGCCTGTTATGATAAATATCTGGTGATATTTGTAGTGCAGGCATTCAGTTGGGATATAGTATGAATTTGGCTTCACACGGTATGAGCTGTCTGTAAGATAGCTCTTATTCATGTTAATCATCCCCTTGTTTTTTCTCTACAAAAGAATGTAGGTGTCCAATCTCTTATGTGGTTGTCGCATCGGTATTCAATTTGTTAAGTGAAATGTTGCTTCCATAGTTCCATGTTAATTTTTGGCGCTTGAATCCCTTATCTTTAGTAGTGTAATTTCTTGGTTTTTTACCATCTTAATAAATTCAGCCACTTAATTAGATTTCATTTTTAGGTGCTAGAGAAATTGTATAAAGCTCGATGGGGACCAGAGGATGGTGTTGGATGCATCATAATGTCTCCCACAAGGGAGTTAGCAGGTCAACTTTTTGAAGTACTTAAATCTGTTGGGAAACATCATGGCTTTAGTGCAGGCCTTCTGATTGGTGGCCGCAAAGATGTTGATGCTGAAAAAGAGCATGTTAATGGACTGAACATCCTGGTCTGTACTCCTGGCCGGCTTCTTCAGCATATGGATGAGACACCAAATTTTGATTGTTCACAACTTCAGGTCCAGTCAACAACTCTTTCCCCCTTCCTCTCCTAAGGCTCTTTTACCATGTCTTGTCCTTGATAACAGGCAGGGAGTAAATACTGCATCATCAAGAATTGGTTTCTGATTTGCTCCTACTTTATTAATGTTAGTGTAGACTACCTTCCATGAAAACAATGCTATAGTTTGCTCATCACAGCGTACTAATTATGATTGTATAGCATCTAGGGACAGATTGGCTCCCTCATTTTTTACCTTGGTGGGGTTTGAAACCTGCTTCATTTTCCTTTTCTCTGCTATGTTTAGTGGAAGCATAGCTATTGAACAGTTGTCTGTTGATGCTACTACAATTTTTGAAATTATTGTCTTTTATTTATTATTATTCTATTTCAATTGTTTCTTCAAAGAAACATCCTTTCTTTTGTGAAAATACATGTCTAACTGTCTTCATCCTATGCATTAGAATCATGCATGTTTATTTAGTTGTTGACTTGGGTGCATCTTTCCTGGCCAGGGAACAGGTTTTAGTTCTTGATGAAGCAGATCGTATTCTTGATGTTGGGTTTAAGAGGGATGTAAATGCAATCATTTCACAATTGCCTAAACATAGGCAGACCTTATTGTTTTCAGCAACCCAGACCAAGTCTGTCCAAGATCTGGCAAGGCTCAGCCTGAAAGACCCTGAATATTTGGGTGTACACGAGGAGTCCGATACTGCGACTCCCAACCGCTTACAACAAACAGCAATGCTTGTTCCTCTTGATAAGAAATTTGACATGTTGTGGAGTTTTATAAAGGCACATCTTAACTCAAGGATATTGGTTTTCCTATCAAGCTGCAAGCAGGTATCTGAACTTCTTCTTGGGGTTCTGTGAAATCGAGAATTCACACTTCACATTAAACATCTTATCGTAAGATGACATGAATATTGCACTTAATCTTAGAGCGCTGTTGATTTTAGTACCTAACATCAACAAGCACTAATGACCTTCGCTATATAACCTGTTTTTGAAAAGGAAAATTATCTATCTGCTATATTGAATCGGGAGTATTCAACAGCTAAAACTTTTGCTCTTAATTTTCTGGTGATTTAATTCCTTCTGTCATTTTTTACTGTTCCCAATTCAACAGGTAAAATTTGTTTTTGAAACTTTCAAAAAACTCCGTCCTGGGATTCCCCTCAAGTGTCTTCATGGAAGGATGAAGCAAGATAGAAGGATGGGAATTTATTCCCAATTTTGTGAACAACGTTCTGTTCTGTTCTCCACAGATGTTGCTTCGAGGGGACTTGATTTTAATAAGGCGGTTGATTGGGTTGTCCAGGTTAGTTCTTAATGTTTTTAGAGTCCAAAGCCTGAAATGAAACTAGTGATTTTTCATCCGTTGAAGGTTGTTGATGCTATTGTAAAGAAACTAGAAAGTTTGACATGTATATGATGCAAACTCACCTTTCAGGTGGACTGTCCTGAAGATTGTGCTGCTTACATACACAGAGTTGGCCGCACTGCTCGTTACCTTTCAGGCGGAAGATCTGTTTTATTCGTGATGCCATCTGAAATGAAGATGCTTGAAAAGTTGGAAGAGAAAAAGATTCCCCTTCGAGTTATCAAGGTAAGATTTCATCCACTTTTATTTAACAACTGAACTCGAGGACATAAAATTATAATTTCTCTCTTTCACAAAGCATCTTGTTGTTTTGTTGTCTAATTATCAAGTGTGAAACAGGCAAATGAAAAGAGGATACAGTCTGTCTCAGATCTACTTGCTTCTTTATTGGTCAAGTACCCTGATCTACAACATCTGGCTCAAAGGGCTTTCGTGACATATTTGAAGTCCATACACAAACAGAGAGATAAAGAGATTTTTGATGTTACAAAACTTCCTATTGATGAATTCTCTGCTTCATTGGGTCTTCCTATGACCCCAAAGATCCGATTTCTGAAACAGAAACTCAAAGGGAAGACAGTGTCTGAAGCATTATCTCTCATACCGGAGAACACAAGCAATGATAATTTGTTGGAATTTCCAATTAAGGAGCCAGAATTTCCTATTAAGGATCCAGATGCAGGTAAATCAGATGTAGAGGAAGTGGATGACGACATCCTTCTAGCTAAGGAGACACAAGAAGGCGGAGAAAATATTAACAGCAAAGGAGATGATATGTATGTCAACTACTTTTCTGGTTTGTCTATTAGATGCGTAGAACTTTTTTCTTTTAAGCAAGATGGCATTAGCTTAGCAGAATGGATTTGTTGGTAATCTTACTTGCATTGCCTGGTGGAAGTGCAATTTTAGAAAATCTCTCATTAAGCAATGGTGTGCTAACCTTAAATATATGCTGATTTTTCATCTCCATAATACTCTTCTTGCTATTCCCCTTGTATTTTTTTAGCTGCTTCACATTTTTTTAATGTTTATTATGATCTTCATTGTGATTGATTTTGCTTCCTGTTATTTGAATTGTTTTATAGGCTGGCCACTAGAGTTACGAAGAAAAAGAAACTAAAGATCAATGTCCACAGACCAGTAGGGACAAGGGTTGTGTTTGATGAGGAAGGGAACACCTTACCTCCTCTTGCAAGATTAGCAGCCTCAAGCAGTGGTGCAGACTCTGTTCAACTCAACAAAGAAAAAGGTACTACTGATAAATCCAAGAGTTTCAAAAGCTTTAGTTTCAATATCTTGTGCTATTTAAAATTGTCCTTTTTATTATATCTAAGTAATATCCGGGGAACACTAGAACTTTTGCTGCTCTTTAATTTAACACTTTGAACTTGCATTCCGAGTCAGTCTACTATATGGTTCATGCATATTCTGCTTACTGTGCAGCTAAATTTGGTTATTCAATCCTAGTCATTTGTTCAGGCGAGAAGTGATTATTTGCTTTGCTGATGCTAAGTCATTGCTAGATATGTCTTACTGCATATTTTTAATTGCATATGTTGCTTTCTTACACCTTGTTCTATTCTTGCTGATGATGCAGTAAATCAGAGATACGCTGAGTTAAGAAAGAACCTGAAGGTGGCTGACAAGGAAGACAAGGATTTGGACCGCAAACGTCGCAAAGAAAAACGAATCAAGGAGAAGATAAAGAATAAGAGGGGGAGAGAGGAAGAAGAGGAGGAAGATGAAGAACTCTCCGGGTCAGACATGGAAATCCCCAGAGGTAGAGTCGACAAGAAAACAAAGATATATTTCGACAGTGATGACGAGGATGGCGAGAGGAGAGGGGACATGGCTAAAAAGGAGGGTATTGCTGCTGATGCTATATCTTTGGCAGAGCAAGAAGAACTGGCTCTGAAGTTACTAAATTCCATGCACTCATAATGGAACAACATTTTGGTAGCTGTAATTTATATTATTCTCACTTCTCAGCATCAATGCTGTTATTATAGTACCTTGAATAGGTAGAAATTATTGGGTCACTTATAAGGCAAACATGAAGATGATTAAGCTTATATGTAGTTGCTTTCATGCACAATTTAAGTAAAATGTAATGTTTTTGTGCTTGGAAGATAATACTAGAGAATATGTTTCTGTGGTTTTGTACTCATTAGGAAATTATCCTTCATTTGCTCAAATTGCAGACTTGTTTCAATTGAGCACAGGGCACTTTCTCATTCAAATTTTGGAAATCCTTTTGCGTGTGTTCTCAAGCATTTATTAGGTAGTTAAGTCAACTATATAAATTATGTCATATTCTTTAATTATACCAATCAATCTCCAAAATGAGAAAAATCTCTCAAAGTGAGGTTTGGAGAGGGCTACATGAATATGCCTTTGCCTACTACGATCGGCACAGAGCTCCACCTAGCCAAAAGATATGAACAGGCTAGTAATAAAGATACCTCTCAATCATCTACTAGCTTTAACTTTCGAATTCACGACCTCCATCACCTCCTATAATTAGTGGAGGTGACATTTTAAATAATTACCTTATTTCATATAATGAGCAATTAGAACAACCGCCAAATACTTTTTCAAAATTTGACTTGAAAATGTCTTAACAAGAACACTTTATCATGTGTTTAGGGGCTCAACTAAAACAAAGCCGACACAAATATTTTTTCCAAAATTTGGACTAAAAATATCTAACAAAAACACTTTATCATGGATTCAGGTGCTCGGATCGTCCTTAAATCATATGGGTTGGGCTAACAAAAGGCCCAAATATCCATTCCGTTAAACGGGTCCTCTGCTGACTAGTTCTTACAAAGGCCCACGTACGCACCCCGCACCCCCACCCTCCCACCCCACCCCAAGAACCTTATCTTCGTCACCGTTCCATTTTTTTCCCTCTTTCATACCCCTAGGGTTTCATCTTAGCTCGTTTGATTTCGCCTGAAAAATGATGCCACAAAGTGGAGTTGCTCAGCCAGCAATGGCACCTATGTCAATGGATCAGTATCAGCAGCAAGCTCCGCCGACGCAGCAGCAACAACAATGGATGATGCAACCTCCGCAAGCTCAACAACCTCAATTTCAACCTCAGGCTCAACCTTCTTGGGGTCAGCAGCAGCAACAGCCATCGCAACCTATGTCTCAACAGTATGGTGCGAGTAATCCTAGCCCTACTTCGAATGTTAATCCAAATGAGCTTCGGTCTCTTTGGATTGGGGACTTGCAGTATTGGATGGATGAGAATTATCTCTCCACTTGTTTCTATCACACCGGCGAGGTAATTTACTATTCGTTTTCTGCAATTTTTAGAGGACGATTGTTTAATTAAAGGAGAAATTAATATTAGGAAGTTCTGATTTCTTAGGTGGTTATAGAGCTTGGTGATGTTGTTTATGCTACGAAAATGATGGAGTATCTTATTTGTGATATAGTATAATGATCTGTAATGTTGTTTTTGGGAGATGGTAGTTAAAAGTTCTTTCATTTTCATGTCGAGCCTGCTGATTGCATTTGTACGTGGAGTCGATTGGATTTGGGAAGATTGCCTTGTCATTTTAAATTTCCCTTATGCCTTTGGTTGCAAATTTTATGTTACTTAGGTGATTGGTAGAAGAGGATGGGGTTGAAAACTAATATCAAAGATATGGAAAAAAATGAAAACTTGGTGGTGAATTTAGAAGATGTGTTGAGGGGTTTGAAAGTTTCCCTAGAGGAAAGGGTGGAAACCAATGGGAAAGATCAATATTTGCCTTATATTGGCTTGTATTTTTTTTATTTTGCACTATGATGATGGCTTCATTGTTTTTTCTACAGCTTGTTTCTGCTAAGGTCATCAGGAACAAGCAAAGTGGCCAGTCTGAAGGTTATGGATTCCTCGAATTCAGGAGTCATGCAGCTGCAGAAACTGTTTTACAAACATATAATGGCGCCTTGATGCCAAATGTGGAACAGAATTTCCGTATGAACTGGGCATCTCTTGGTGCCGGTGAGAGGCGAGATGATTCACCCGAGTATACAATATTTGTTGGTGATTTGGCTGCTGATGTGACGGATTATGTGCTACAAGAGACATTCAAACCCGTGTATTCATCAGTAAAAGGTGCAAAAGTTGTAGCAGATAGAATTACTGGACGTACCAAGGGATATGGATTTGTCAAGTTCGCTGATGAGAGTGAACAATTGCGTGCTATGACTGAAATGAATGGTGTACTTTGTTCATCTAGGCCCATGAGGATTGGCCCGGCTGCAAACAAGAAACCAATGGGTACCCCCCAGAAAGGTATGGCCGTGTCACCCTTTCATCTGCTATGCTGAAGGTGGACCTTTTTTGTTCTTTTTTTGTTTGCAGTTTGAACTGTACTGTTTGTTGTCTGCATTCCTGATATGGGGCACACAAAGATGCCATAAATCTCTTGATGTGTTCAGAGTCTATAAGTTGATTGTTCTTTAAGCTTTGCGCTTGAAGTGGTGGAATCATTAAGATCCTTTTCTTCCAGTACTTAACTTTCTACACTTGGGGGCATTTAATTGTTTCAAAATGTGCACAAACTTATAAAACTCGTGTTGTCTCAAAGCAGGAAACAGAGAGGCTCTCATATGGGGGCCTGGAACTGATTTCAGCTGAAATGATTCCACTTTAGTGCGTGGCCTCATTTTAGGTCAGTGTATTTGTTTATGTCACGCTTCCTTACTTCGTATTCTTGTGGCATCTTATGCTACATTCAGTTAATTTCCAGTTCCTGAATTACTATTACAAGCCTTCGTAAATTATTTTCATTTCTATCAAAATTTAAATTTCCTTCCTTCATTTTACCAGTTTATTTAATTCCTCAGCTGGCCTTGTGTTATTTCAGTTAGGATCTATGTTGTACCCCTTTAAATAATGATGCGGCAAGCTGTTTCAGTTCATTTCCTTACAATTCTTTTCCTTCCTTTGTGTGTCACGTTCACAGCTGTCTGTGTTAATGGTGTTTGCTACCAAGTCTGGGGACTCAACTTGATCTATCAACACCTTTTCAGCTCATCTCCCTATGAACTGCCTTAACAGTCTTTTTTAAGGCATAATACATAAACATGTGCCTATTTGTAGGGTGCCATGTAGGACGAATGTGCCTATTTGTTCAATTTTATAAAAGTTTAAGTGCCTACTTGTGCACACCCAAAGTTAAAGGTCATAGTTGCCAGCTAACGCAAGTTAAGGGTCATGTTTATGTATTACGCCTTTTTTTAACAAGGGTCCATGCCACAAACATTGGACTTTTAAATTCATGTCTTTCAAAGGGCGTGCATTCACGTGTAGGCTATAAAGTAATGCTTATGGATACTTATTTGTTTTAATTTTGTGTTTTTTATGTGTTTGAATGCATTCATCTGTTTCCTCTGCTCATGGATTTTCTTTCCAGAACATGTGTGGAAATGTAAAATGATTGTTATAATGAATTAGAAGGACCTCACACTCTACTATCTACATGTATAAAGCTTAGGTCAATTGATGTGTAGCCTGTCTTTGTTTCTTCTTTTATCCTTGTGTGTTACTTTCCATTTCTCTCTACGTGCCGGAGAGTCAAATTTCTGACCATAGATGCTATAGCACTTTTTGATGATTACATTTCTACTCACATCTTTTACCATTGCAGCTACCTACCAAAATCCTCAAGCTACTCAAGGCGAAAGTGACCCCAATAATACAACTGTGGGTAGCTTGTTTTGATGTTAAGTTTGTTTTTCTAGTATATGCACTTCTAACCTTTCATACTCAAATGAACAGATATTTGTTGGTGGTTTGGATCCCAGTGTTGCAGAAGAACATTTGCGACAAGTTTTCTCCCCATACGGTGAATTGGTTCACGTGAAAATAGTGGCTGGAAAGCGCTGTGGCTTTGTTCAGTTTGGTAGTAGGTAATGCCAGATGCAATTAATAATGTCTATTGCTAGATTTCTTGTCCATGTTCTTTTCTTATGTTCTATCACTCGGCATTTCCAGAGCTTCTGCTGAGCAGGCTTTGTCAAGCTTGAATGGCGCACAATTGGGAGGACAAAGTATTCGGCTTTCTTGGGGGCGTAGCCCCTCTAACAAACAGGTTTTTGGCCTATCTTTGCTGTGTTAAACTTAGATAAATCAGCTTTTGTGCTGACTGTGATTATTCTATGTAGTCCGACCAGACTCAATGGGGTGGTAGTGCCGGTGGTGGTGCTGGTGCATATTATGGGTATGCCCAAGGATATGACGCTTATGGATATGCTCCTCCCCCTCAGGACCCTAATATGTATTACGGGAATTACCCAGGATATGGGAATTATCAGCAGCCACAGCAGGTATGACAAATACGGCCTTGAAGGTCTGGCTTGCCATTTTGCATTCCCTGAGTTAGGCCTTTTCACTTTCTGGATAGTCTAGGATTTCGTTGGGACTTTCTTATGGCTATATCTGCATCTTCTTCAACAGTATTTACTCATCCGTTGTTCTCTTCATTTGCAGTGATGTTAATTATTTTCAAGGAGGCTAAGTAGTAGACGACGTTCAAGTTTCCAGTGCTTAGGCTGATCTTTCCCGTCGGTGTGACTGGTTGTACAATGATTTGATAAACTGAGTGATTGTGAGTTTTTGTGGGATATTTTCTTTTCTCCTGTCTGTAACTTTGAGTTTGCTATGACACTAACATGTACTGAAACATTCCGAGCAGTACCTTGACCTGTGTGTAGACTTTGTTAAGTTTTTTCTTGCCATTTCCAGTATTCGATTGCATTTGGTTTAATGTTCGTGCAGATTTAATTGTGAGCAGCATCTAGTAAATGTGATGCTTATAATTGTCGAATAAAGATGCTAGAATAGCTGTATTTTAGTCTGCAAGAGATGTGAAATTCTTTAGCTGGTTTTATCAACTTCTACTCTTTATTCACAACGAGGGGTGGCAAAATCAAATCCAATCTCGTATGTTGGGTAAGTTTGAATGGATTATTTTTGACTTATTTTTTTAATCAAACCCAACCTTCTCTGTCATCCCCTCCCCCAATTTTGTATGTTGTGCAAGTCTTCTACTGTTTAGATGTCTTAAATAATTAAGATTAAAATCAATTGAGTTGTTTCTTTATGTTATATGATACAACAAACTACGATTCCTTTCAGATGCGCCAATCCAAAAAAAATTCGATCACAAACATTCTCAACTGCACAAGCATAAAATGGGACAGAGGGATAATAAAAGGAAAAAATGACAAATATATCCTCGAACTATCCTAAATGGTATGTAGATACCATCCGTCATACTTTCGCCATGTGTTTCTATTTAGTCTTTCGTTAGAGTGAAGGGTATATATGCTCTAGATTTTAGACGACATGAAAAAAAGACAAATATACCCTCGAACTATCCTAAATGACATGCAGATACCATCATGTGTTCCTATTTAGTCTTCCGTTAGAGTAGAGGGTATATATGCTCTAGTTTTTAGACGACAGGGACACTAATGTTCCAAAAGTATGATAGAGGGTATCTGCATACCATTTACGATAGTTCGGAGGTATATTTGTCATTTTCCCCTTAATAAAATATCTATTTTATCTTTAGTTAAATATTTTTTAACTGCACAAACATCTAATTACAAATTTTAAAAATCTTTTTATTCTTTTATAAACTCTATGTAAGTCAAATTAACTCAACTCATATAAAATGAGACGGAGAGAGTAAGAAATATGGAAAGTGTGAACGCAGAAAAGAAAAAGCTGGAGAGATTGGGAATTATAGGTGTGAAACAAACAAAAAAGGGCGGTAATTGGGGAAAAAAGGAAACCAAAAAAAGCAATGACTGATGGTCTTTTAGTTACCAATTTTTTTTAAAAAAAGCTTACATCAAAATCCATCAGCACCAATAATGGAGCTCAAATTGAAGATAATACTACTACTGTTACTCTCTTTGACGACCATTTTGTTCATCTGTGCAACAGTCCGAGCTGGAGAAGAAGTAGAATATCTCCGACCTCCGCCGCGTAAAGCCTTTCGTTTGCCATGGGATCCAAAACCTTCCTCTCAACCTCAGCAGGTAATGAGGCGGATCTAAAATTTTAAGTTTTTTCTGTGTGTCAATTTACGTGATACCGATAGCAAATCAAGTTACTCTAAGCAATAATTTTAAAATGTATGAATACTAGAAATAAGTGTAACTTATATAGTACTAAATTTTATTTTTTTGAATATTTAATTTTTAATTTTAAAATATTGAGTTGATTTATGCCAAATTTACTCTCCGTAAGTAAAATGTGTCACATAGATTGAGACAGAGAGATATAGAGAGGGTAGAAGGCAGGTGAGTAAAATGTGTCATATAGATTGAGACAGATATCGAGGGAAGAGATTTTTTGAGAATGAGTGCAGACTTACTGGAAGAGATATATTGTAGTTTTGTAAAAAAATTCAGCTGCAACATGTCTTTCCGTTAATATTATTTGGTGTTCATTTCTACTGATTTCAGCTGAAGTTATTAGGATTTGGGTCTGGATTATATTCGGATATTGTTGTTTAGCTGAGTCTAGGAGTTTTAATTACTCTTTGTAACAATATGATGTGAAATTAAGGGTGCTCAGTTTTCTTCTTTTGATCTGTTAAGGCTTTGTATTTGTTCAATGCTTTGCTATGATTTGGTTAGTCCTTACTGATTGAAACTCCTTGTTTTTTTGTGTTCCATTGTGTTAGCCCAAAGACTCAACTGTCTTTGAGCTCCTGAAGTTACCAATTTTGATGGTGTCTGTGTTTTCATACTTCATAGGAAGTAGTAGTTTTGATTTTCTACGTGTTGCTTAGCATGACATCAATGTGCAATATAGTTTAATTAGCGTCAATTAAGCTCAATACACTCCAAAGCTCTGTTCTTTTGGACTTTCGTTTTCTTTTTGTTTATTCAAGCTGGTGTTAGGTCCTGTTTAGGAGGATGTAAAATGTTTCCACGGTCATTATGTTAGTCAAAGGCGGAGCCAGGATTTAATGTTTGTATGTTCTAAAGTAGCGAAAAGATTAGAGTGTCTTTGAAATGTTTCCACGGTCATCATGATGGTCAAAGGCGGAACCAGGATTTAAGTCATCATGTTAGTCAAAGGCAGAGCCAGGATTTAACGTCTGTGGGTTCTAAAGTAGTGAAAAGATTAGAGTGACCAATGGGTTTCAAACCCACATTCTGCAGAAAGAAGGCCTTCGCTGGGCAGGCAGAGACCACTGAGCCGTTACCTCTCTTTGACTGTGGATTCACAGGAAATAGTTATATACCTTTGTATTTGGTATTTTAGTACGAACATAGGGACTACGCAAAAGCTACTGGGTTCACCCCGTGTAATATAGTAGCTCCTCCCTGATGTTAGTGGAATGCTATTATAACGAAGGTGGGGGTTGGCATGAAGGGTGGTGTAAAGAACTACTAATATTTCTTGGATTCGTTTCAATTCGACTAACTTCTCTTTCCCTCTTTAGTTTCTTGATTCAGAGCGCAAACCGAACTTTTGCAACCTATCAAGCATAAAAAAGGAAACATTTTATGTCGTTCCAAATTGGTTTACTGTTGCTGTTTTGGTGAATGAATGTAGCTGGTATAGTTGATCATGTGCCTTAATATTGTCATTGCAGGTTCACATCTCATTAGCTGGAGACAAACACATAAGGGTATCATGGGTCACAACTGATAAATCTTCTCCTTCAATTGTTGAATATGGAACATCCACTGGAAAATACAGTTACAAAGCTCAAGGAGAGAGTACCAAGTACAGTTACGTGTTGTATCGTTCTGGAATGATACACCATACTGTGATTGGACCATTGCAAGACAACACAGTGTACTTCTACAGATGTGGTGGAGAAGATCCGGAGTTCCAGTTCAAAACTCCACCGTCTAAGTTTCCTGTTACTTTTGCTGTGGCAGGAGATTTAGGCCAAACTGGATGGACAAAGTCAACTTTAGACCATATAGACCAATGTAAATATGATGTTCATTTGCTCCCCGGTGACCTTTCTTATGCTGATTATATTCAACATAGGTGGGACACATTTGGTCAACTGGTTCAGCCGCTGGCTAGTGCAAGACCATGGATGGTGACTCAAGGGAATCATGAAAAAGAATACATACCATTCGTTGTGGATGAATTTATATCTTACAACTCCAGGTGGAAGATGCCATTTGAGGAGAGTGGATCTACTTCGAATCTCTACTATTCATTTGACGTTGCTGGGGTTCATACAATCATGCTTGGTTCTTATACCGACTATGATGACTACTCTGATCAATATCGATGGCTGAAGGTTAGCTGAACTCTCATTTATTACTGAAAAGCTTAGCAACTCATCGTTTTGCTAATATAAATGCATTTATTGGAAATTCAATTGTAGGCTGATCTTCAAAAGGTTGATCGTAAAAAGACTCCTTGGTTGGTTGTGTTATTCCATGTGCCTTGGTATAATAGTAATGAGGCTCATCAAGGTGAAGCTGATGACATGATGACATCTATGGAGCCTCTGTTGTATGCAGCTGGTGCAGATATAGTGTTTGCTGGGCATGTTCATGCTTATGAACGCACGGTATGCCTAGCTTGCTAATTTGCTTGTTTACTCTTGATTATTGGATACTCGTAGATGATGCAATTCATTTTTCTTTTACAACAGAGACGAGTTTATAATGGTAAACCTGATCCTTGTGGCGCTGTCCACATAACAATTGGTGATGGAGGAAATAAAGAAGGTTTAGCGCGCAAGTAAGTATTCCTTGTAGTAATTTTTCTCTCCATGCTGAGCACAAGATCCTTAAAATGGCAATGGTCACGAGAACTTGTTTAGTTCATTAATGATCTCTGTATTCTGTTTCTGAGTTGAACAACTTTGACAACAAAAGGCAACTTCTCACAAAGTGCTTATCTCAGGCTTTGTAGAGTGAAAGTTATTATGACAGTGAACTTACATATCGTGGCAAATTATTGACAGGTACAAACTACCCCAACCAGAATGGTCTGTTTTCCGCGAAGCAAGCTTTGGCCATGGTGAACTTGCGATAATTAATTCAACTCATGCCTCTTGGAGTTGGCATAGAAATGATGATGATGAACCAGTGAGATCTGATCAGGTTTCGATTACCTCGTTGATTGATTCAGGATGCAGCAGTATTAGAGTCATGAACTAAGAGAAATCCTTGAAGCTTTACTTGTAACAGAAACCAACTACTTGTTCTTATTATTAAGTAATTTAGGAGATATATTGATTAATGAACAGAAAGGATCATTAGCTCCTTAGTTTTAGCCTCTAAATGAAATGTACTTAGTTATAGGATTAATACTTACTACTTGCCTTCAATTATGCTTGTACTTGAGTACCAATATTAGTCATCACTCGTGAATTAACAGCCGTTATCCTTGTGTGAATCATACATCAGCAGATATTTCTTGCATAAGCCACATGAAGGTGACAAAGATGACCAAACAGAAAAAGGAACATTGGATAATCGATAAAAAGGTAATGTCTCTTGTTGCTCAAATGTACGTTGAGTACCATGCCACAGGAAAGAAAAGTTTCAATTTTCTTTTACTAATTGCTCTGTAGAAAACATCTATAATTCAGAACCTTTAGCGTGAACGTTACATGTAACTCGAGTAGTAGTCTATCAACTACAGGATTTCAGAAACTAGTTATTCACCTGCTGAAAGAGGACTGGTATTGCATTAATAACAACCACTAGTCCCTGCTTGCATTTCTTTGGCATCTGTGAGTAAGGTGTGATCTGAGCTGCCTAG